GCCACCTGTTTACCTTCAAGCCTTTAAGATCCCAGACGCTGTATCTTTTGATAGCCAGGCACCATCACCTTTCTTCACCACATTTGCTTATGCACCCACTTTGTCTCCATAAACATGGCTATTTTAGACATTTAAAATGTGTCCATTTTTAAACGGTTACTTAATTTTTAAAAAAATCCATGTTTATTCCCTAAGTGCTGAAACTGTCCCTTCCCTCTCCTCCTGTGGGGGCTGCCGATTCAGCCGGATGGCTGGGCCTACGGTTCAGACAAGACGGTGGAGGTTGGCATCACTGGAGACCAGAACAAGGATTCAGCGGGCACAGGCAGAACCAATGTAGTAGAGGCCGGGGGTTTGAGTGGCATGTTTGAGATCAGGGTGCTCAGAACTGCTGTGACTATGGCTAAAAACTTATTTGCTATTTTTGGGGAGGGTGGGCTGAGATGACAACTAGCACTGTCAAGAGTTTGGTACTCACAGGGAGAATGAGCAAACAATCTAGGAGTCTGTGAGTCACGGCTTTCGCTATGAGATGGGAATTATAGAAAGAGGCAGGTGAAACTCAAACTATTGAATTAGAATTGATGAAATCAAAGTGAAAGTGAGATCTCATATACACACTCTATGTACATCTAGAGCTGTGTGCATGTACACAGTTGTGTATTTATCACTGTTGTTGGGTCCTTTGAGTTGGTTCTGATCCATAGCATCCTTATGTACAATAGTACAGGAGCAAACACTGCGTGGTCCGGCACCATCCTCAGTTGTTCCTGTGCTGGAGCCCGTTGTTGCAGCAGGGCGTCCACCCATCTCCTTGAGGGCCTTCCTCTTTTTCACTGCCCCTCCCACTTTACCCAGTCTAGTTACTAGACTTATCCAATACAGCTTAAACTCAATGACCTCCCATTAACCATGAGCACTTGTCAGATCTTGGTTTCCATAAAGTATAAGTTTGGAACATATCTTGCTGTACGAACAAAACATGGGGGTAAAAGAGATGAGCATATGACAAAAAGGCACAGAAGTTAGCTTGAAAAATCCCAAGTGTGCAGAGATTTCAGTATTGAAATACAGGCCAACACACATTGGAAGCTAGTAGGTAGAACTCTCTGAGTGCATCCTGACATAAATGAGGAACAAAAGGAGAAGAGACAGCAGTTCCTTATATAATGCCAAGTAGACATGGCAGACTATCTGGAAACCATCATGGTAGTAATTGTCCCTTCCAGGCTCAGTTTGTGCTGGACTACTAATATAAGGGGTGCTAGCCTGAACCTACCTACCCAGTGGTACCTTGGATGAAAGGCCTGGCAACCTGTGACAAAGATTACAGTCAAGAAAACCCTTTGGAAGCATGGAGTGAAATTGACTCCATGACTTCAGGCTTATGGTAATAATTGATGTGAGCAAGAATAAATTATTTTGCTCAGTGGACAAAAAACTGGTTGGTAACAATTTGATGAGAAACTAGATTATTCACAGCCTCAAATAACCTGTAATTATTAACTCTACGATGGAGAAACATGGCCGATGCCATCCTAACCACGTCATCAGAGTAAACTAGTCAGGGGACAAAATGACATTGTGTGGCTCCTGTGATATACTAAGAATACAGCCTGGTTTCTTGAGTGGTTCTACCCAAACTGCATAATCTAAATTTAATAATATTAGATAACCCCAAACGCATTCTACAAATTAGCCAGTACCCCTTGAATGTACCACTCATGAAGGAAAGGGGACACAGAAAGGGACTTTTCCAGGTTGAAGGGTACGAGAGATGACAATCCAATGTGCCAGTGCTGCTGGAGTGAAATCACGAGCAGCGGGCCAGGACTGGGCAGCAAGGAAGCAAAATCTGAGTGGGCAGGGTGGGTTAGAGGGCATTACCATGTGACTGTACATCTCCGTCCCACAGTCATGGAGATGGGGCTGGGCCCTAATATACCCATAATGCCTGGAGAAGTAATGGAGCATCATGTCTGCAATTAGTCCAGAACCCATTTTGATTGGTTACATTGAATCTGTAAGTAAATGTGAGGCAAACAGTCTTACAATCTAGATGCATCCGACTCAGGTATAGTCTTTATTAAAGGACTCTTGAAGTGGTTTACATTTTCTTTAAAGAACTCTTGAAGTGGTTTACATTTTCTTTCATGACGATCTTGCACATCTTTTTATAATGAAGAGATCTTTCTGAAAATGTTCGTCTTCTGTTAAGTCGTTGGTATCCAGGAACATGAAGTTTTACATACTAATTGTGAGTATGGCAACTTTGATACCCTTTGGTGTTATTGGACATTTAAACACATGAAGGGGCTTCAAAAAGTTCATGGGGAAATGTTATTAAAAGATCATTTGTTCCATAAACTTGTTGAGATTTCCTTGTATAATCATGGCAACACAATCAAAGCAATTCCTTTTCACTAGGAAAGAAAAACCCAGCTAACGATGACATTGACTACAACTTGTCCTAACATTCCAAAGAACTGCCTTGGGAAGAGTTTGGAAGGTGTACAAAAGAGGAGGAAGACAAGGATAGCTGGGGAGGGTGAAGTCATAATGGCATCTTGAAATGAAATACTCCAACGATGGAAGGTAGTACCCCCTTTCTGGTCACGAGATTGCTAGGCAACAAGCCCCTACAGAAATCATAGCCTCTTCATCTCTGCCCTTAAGAAATGCCTTGCCTAAGGAGCATGAAAAGTCATACTCATAAGAGGTTAAGTTCTAAGACTGCAAGTCTAAGGCAATCTACAGGATTTAGAAACGAGGAGAACAACGAAACCAGCCCCTTGAGGAGGCCACGCTTGGTCAAGTGGAAGGGCAGCTTCAAAGAGGAAGACCCTCAAGGAGATGGACGACACAGTGGCTGCAACACTGGGTCCAACCTCACTGTGAGGACGGCTCAGGGCTCTATTCTGTTACCGAGTCACTCTAAGTGGGGACCAACCTGATGGCACCTAACAACCTAAGAATTTATCACTCCTTCCAAAAGGACCTCTCTGAATCTGGCGAAATGCTTTCCACACTAAGGTTTCTGCCGGTCTCTCAGCTTTTCCAGGTCTTCGCATTATTGCTCTTTCCCTTTGCTCCAACCCTGCTTCACTGGAAGAATGGTCTCCATCATTTTATTGGGCAGCAGAGCGTCTTCTTAACAGATGCTTGCTTGCTGCCCATGGGAAACAAGAAAGCCCCGTATGAAGAGCCGAAGGCCTCAACCCCTTCACAGAAGAAGCGGTTCTGCTGCAAGGAGCGAGGCATCTGGTAGGCTTGACATGAGAGGAATCCAAGCCGCCAGTTTTGCCTGACAGTCTTTGACGAGGCTGTCTCAACACATGACAAGAAAATGGAGTTTAAGAGTGCCCTTTCCATTGCGGAACACCACCTGATACACACACAGCCCCCACGTTAACAATGCCCGACGGACAGATGGTCCACACTTTCTCTTTGTAGTCAGAGAAGTCGGTTCTCACGTTAAAGTGATTCAACTAGCCATACTCTCAACAGACTCTTCATCACAATCGCCGTCGCTAACCGCACGGGCAGGTTTTCAACCGTGCACAAGGTTTCTAAGCCCTGTCCTGCACTAAAGATAAAAAGGCACTGTCTGCACCTGTTCTGACTGAGCTACACGTTCTTAAAGACACGGTCAGGAATGGATCTCTAAAGTACGCTGGGGACTCCCTGTAGTCAGTGATTAAGAGCCATGAGAATCGAATAGACTTGTGGAGACTGACACTACCTGCTACACCTGCAGCATATTGGGCCAATTATTTAACTAAGGATCCTCAGTTTCCTTATCCCCAAACCCAGTCGCCGAGTAGCTTTCAAACTCAACCCAAGACTATAAAAAGCTCTATTGGAGCAGATAGCCTCTTCTTTTTCTCACAGATCTGCTGTGGGGTTTGAACCTTCGATTCGGCAGTCCAAAGGTTACCCGACAGTGTCACCAGGCTCCTTTCCTTATCCCTGGCAGAGGAACAATGAAACACTTACCCCTCTGTTATACGAGGCTAAGAATGTGAATGAAGTTCAGTAAACATCCAGCACATAACGAGAGCTCTTGTTTTCTTACAAGGTTTTCGGAGGCAATGTGGCTCCTTCACGTGAGTGTGTGCACGCACCAAGTACAACATGGTCATCTGTTACAAATATCATTTGCATACATAGGGGCTACTTTGGGGCATGTCTGTCCCTTTAATATTTGATTTTAGATAAAACAATAACAGGAATGCACAAGTTTTAAAATCTGGGAATTCTATAATTGAAACAGAACCAATCAATTAAATGTGTTCTCTAATTTCAAACAATGAGGCTTACTCAGAATCAATCTAAATAAATCTCTGTTGGATTCATACTAAGATAATATCATCAATGATTGCACGTCCAGATAGTAAAAAGTACAGAAAAGGATTTATGAGTGAAAACATTTAATACAAAAGAAAATGGTTAAAAACAAAACCATACAATATTAAGAAGAAATGTATTGAATTTAAAAACTTCTGAAATAGGCATTTTTGGACCATTACATAAAATACCGCAAAGTTCAGAATTGCTGAAAAACAAAATGTTTATGTTGAACAAAACTCAAGGGGTGAGAAATAAACTAGCAAATGTTTTAAAACCATCTAAAGCCAAATAAGACATGACCGAACTGTACAATTTGGAAACAAGTTTAAGTGCATTTTCTTTGTACAACTGACAATATGTTAAAATTGGCACTTCATTAAATGCAATTAAATACAGATTTGCAAGCTTTCTGACCAACAAGTGAATGTTAGGAAGTGACATGGTGAACTGCCAACTGGGGAAGAGAAGCTTGCGATACAACAAAGCGCCAGTGGTAACAGACGCGCCGCAGCAGGACGGTGTCTGGGGGACAATCAGGACACACATTCAGAAACACTCCGCCCATAAATAAACACTCAGCTTCACCTCAAAAATATTGCTGACTTTCCCCAAGTGCACCTAGTCGGTGAGAACTAGACTATATATTAAGGATGCATTTAAATGGACCATTTCACGGGGAACAATCAACTGACCTTTGAAATATATGAATCCACCTATTTTATTCACAAGTTCAAAAGTACAGAATTCAAAGGTATAACTTCAGTGAGGCACAAATGTGACCCTACCCAAACATTCTACCATTCAGTATAACCAACACAGGGTAACAAAATACAATAATAATAATAATTAAAAAATCCACAGTTTGGCAATCCTATACAAAAATGGCCCCGTTGAACATTCTTTCAAAAAAAACAACAACACACACACACACACACAATACAACAAAACAGAACCAAAAGAAAAGAAAACCTGATTTTTGGCAACCCCTACACAAACTGCGGGCTTTCGTCTTCCAGGTCTTCAAACTGCTGCATTCGTTTTAGCCTTGGCCTCTGACAGGTTGGGTTCACGTCGGGCGGGGCGGGACTCCCCGAGTTCGAGCAGGGCTTGCCTACAGGCTGCTCAGCACTGGTGGCCGCGTCTGGCAGTGATTTTGACTGCACCGTGGGGCTCTGGGGAGCAGGTGTTGGGCCAGGAGGCAGTGCTGGGGCGGGAGAGGATGGTCTCTCTTCACTCCCCTTCAGACTGCTCCCAGGAGTCCGGGGTTTATAGAACGTTGTCCAGTGCTGGGGCTGCAGAGTCCGGGGCGCTCTGACAGGAGCAAGAGGGTTGGAATCCGAGGACCGTCTTTCCAGCACCTCTCTGGCTGACCTGCTGGGCTCCGCAGATGGCTTACTGGGCTGGGTGGCGCTGACCAAATGGTCCCTACTAGTCCTCCTGCTGGTCGTCATGCCTTTTTCCTGCGCTGTGCTGGGCACAGTCCTTGCAGTCGGGTCAGACTGCTCATACCTTTTGGTCCAACTTTTTTGTACAGTTTGCAAGTCACTGCCATCCGTGTTGGAACACACAGGTGTGTCTTTTCTATTAACTCCTTCAAGGGCAGGATTCTTGTAAAACCGGTCTGAATGGACAATCCCCATGTATCTGCCATTCCTCTCGCTGGGAAGGCTTGCCAGGAGGAGTTTGTCTACGGGCAAGCTTACAGGCCTAACCATTACCTTGGTCCTTCGAGTGTGCCTCTCAAAATTGCTTGGTTCCCAATGAGCCTTCAGAATAAGTGGATTAGGAGATTTACGCACATTTTCCACTTTCTCGGATGCTGCCTCAAGCACATGGTCTAGTAGCAAACGAGCTTTGTCATCTGGGGGGAAAGAAAGGAAGATCTAGTTAAAAACATCAGACTTCTTGGCATGCAGCGAACGAGTGATCTGGAGTCATAGATGGGCATTCTCTCCAAACACCTGGGGTCTTACACTCCTCTTTCAACACGCTGTCTACACAGAGGAATGAGATACTCCTCAAACCTAGCTACAAAATACATTACAGGTTAGTAAAAACTCACACGAAAGAGAAAACATGCTGGCTGAAAGGACGGCCACGCCACGCAGACAGCGGTGCACTCACTGCAGAGAAGGGAGACTGGCGCACACACCAACCAAATGGGAGTGTGCCCTGAATCCCCAGGACTCTGCAGCTCATTCCGTCTCCCTTTCAGGTAGTCTCAACCCACAGCAACCGCCTCATACATCCATGCTAATCGATGGAGTCCAACAGCCACACTCAAATGAAGGTGGACGCTCTAAGCAAGACCCACAACTGAACATGCGCATCGTTCTCCCCAGTCACTGTCTGCTCTCGGTTTACTTTCTTCCCAGTGCCAGGTGTCAGGGCAGACTTGACCGCCGCAACCAACTACGACGGCCACGTCCCCATCTCATCGGTCCCACCGTCCAGGTTTTCTCAAACTAGACCCCTCAGCTCCCAAAAACCTCTTGCCTGATTGCTGATTTCCCCAACATTTCCTCTCCCTGGAAAATTCCACCCCCGGCTCCCTCTCTCCCCTTTTCCTGCTGCAAAGCCCTCAAATAACCCCGCCCTGGGCACAGTAGCACAACCCTTTCCAGTCTCCTGTCCCTTCCCACCTCTCACATGGGGGCCCATCGGAGTCATTTTTCCATCACCAGCCCTTTAACCCCCTTCACTACCCCACTCTGCTGACCTCTACCCTCCCTGGAGTGCCAAGTCCACGGCTTCTCACTGTGCTTCCCCAGGGCCTCCCCCATAGCTATCAGTTGTTCTAAGGGAGTGGGCTCAGTGCCCTTAGACTATATTCTGTAGGGAGGTTCTGAGGGAAAAATGTATAGCATAATGGGGTGTAGTAGTTAGATAACTTTATGTGGATGTGCAGATGTATGAAAGTGTAGCAATGGAATCCAACCTGTCAATCAGGTCACAGCCTGATGGTGCCACCTTCTCCTAAGAAGGACCCTGGGAACCTCCTTCTCTCCCGGCATGCATCTTTCTGCTGGATGGCCACCCAAAGAGCTGCCAGAGCCCTGCCGTGTTTCCAGCGACCTTGGACCCGCTGGCCAGAGATCTCCCTGCACTCTGCATGTGCATGTGGCTGCGTGAATCTGAAGAGGGACTTATGGACTGCTATCAGACTTATGGAGTTGGACTGGGCTGGGATGCTTTCTTGATAAATAATTACTTCTTGATAGAAAGCTTTCTTATACATGTCTTGAGTGTCAACGGATTCATTTTGCTAGTCAACCAGGCCTAACACAATGGGTACGGTGGCAGACTTTGAAGTCCCATTGTCTGAAACCAAACCTTAGCTCTGCCGCCTTTGCAGTGGCGAAGCAACTTCACTAGCCCTAAATTTCCTTGTTTGTTCAAAATACAACAAAATAAACCTCATAATTCTACCGTGTTGCTAGGTGGCTTCAATGACCTAATAATGAAAAAGCTTAAATAAGTAATCAACAAAAAACGGCATGAGTATTATTGTTACTATTCCTCATGAGGATCTTTACTTCATGGGTTTAGGGGTCAGGCTGGACAGGGTTTAAATCCTGACTGGACCACTAGAGGCTTGGGTTTGAGCATTCTTTGACCTCTCTGAGGCCTTAGTATCTCCAAACTTCAGATCACAGAAGGGTTATGAGGACCCAACCAAGCGGAATGAAATGAGCCCAGGGCTTTCCCACAGAGCAAGCCCACATTTAGGTTTAAAACCCTTCTTTTCTTAGACCCCCATCAGGATATGATCACTGACATTCAATTCCACATCAAATGTGGGTGTATTTTCAAAAACTGGAAATTTAGTTCTATCCCCCAAAGCTCAGTGAGTCAAACGCCTGGTTCTGGGAGAGAGAAAGACGTGGCAGACCCTGTGAAGAGTGGAACCCCCACGGGGCAGCTCTACTCTGTCCTACAGGTTTGCTCTGAGTCAGAGTGGTCCCACGGTAATGGGCTGGTTTGGTTTTGAAAACGCAGGATGGGGAGCCTTGGTGGCGCAGGGTAAAAGCACGTGGCTGCTAAGCAAAGGGCCAGCGGTTCAAACCTCCCAGCTGCTCTATGGGAGGAAGATGTGGCTGTCAGGTCCCATCGTGATTTATAGCCCTGGCAACCCTACTGGGTATCCTACTCTGTCTTACTCTGTCCCTGTCAACAGCAGAGTTTGGGGATTGGCATGCACAGTTACTGGAGCAAATGGAATCTCCTTCACCAGCTTGATGCAACTACGATGATCTTACAGAAAAAAAACAGTGAATACATAGGCTGCCATGAGAGAAGTAAAAAAAGGAGACACATGTGTCCTTAATGTGTTGAAGGCAGGCTTCAGGAAGAAGCATTTGTTAAAACAAACAAAAGACACACACAAAAATGCGGGGTCTGGTTTGATTCCTTGAGTAGTTACATCAACATACTGAAAAGATGTTAGTTATTACTTACACTCGTCAACACATCTCCACCCTGACATCAGTCGAAGGCAAAAACAAAACATTTTCCCCCCCACAAAGTGCACCCCAGTCCCCCTGGATTCCAAGATGTGTCTTCAAGAGCAGGCCCACCAGGAAGCACTGCACTCGCTCACAGTGCCACGGCCGCCACTGACACGGAGCAGCCCCTGGCCCGGCTGTCAACCGCGCCATTCCGGCACTGTCTGAAGTCAGCACATGTGTTTACGCTTGGCCACTCACCGGTGCCTTTTTCTGATGCAGTCTGCTTGTGTTCCGATTCTTCAAGTGACGTAATTCGTTCCAAAACCTTGCTTTCACTATCTGCAGTGTGAATATCCTGTTGGTGAAAGAGAACAGATTTGAAGCAAATACATAACCTCAAAATAAATAGTTCAAAGGTTTTTTTTGCTTTTTCTTTTAACTTATTCACATAAACATCACAAAAATTCCAAGACAATTCCACTAAGGCCAGAACTCACTTCCTTTGAGGAGAAAAACAGTGACTTCATGGGATATTCCAGGTCCCTTTCCTCTGGTGACAGCACAGGTTTCGGCGGACCGCCCTGGTCAAGATGAGGTCCGGCCACACCCGGACTGCCCGCAACTCCATCCTGCGGCTGCAGGGACCCATCAAAGATCTTCTGTGAGTGCGCAATGAGGAACTCCACGATCCGGGCTTGATGGGAGTACTCCGTAAGGGAGGAGATGGTGACAGGGGCAGTGGTGGGTCTCGGCCTAATGAGACACGGCCCAAATATCAACCCCAGGTTTTTGGAGGTCATCTTGTTTTCTTCAGCGTGGTCTACTACCCTGAAAAATAAAACACATGAGGTGGAATGAGATTTGCCTACCAGACTTTTCCCTAGATGGCCAGACATAAGGGAGAAACATTTGGCTGTTGGAATGGGAAGAGGGGAGAGAGAGTCCGCCTAATTATTTAACAAAAATACTAACCACACACACCACTGGGTTTCACCACGTATCAGAGTACAATTGAGGTAGGTGAGAGGAACTATAACAGTTGCTGTACCAGTGAAAGAAAATCATATTCCTAAAAATTGTTCTCTTTAAATGTAGTGCAACCTACCAGGTCCTTATAATGGAGCAAAATACAGGTTGCCTTCAAGTCTAACCAATTCTCCCTCCTGAAGATCTCACCCTGTGTCTATGACCACATTCAAGGAGATCTGACTGTGTTCACTCCTGACTTCAAACTTCTTCTGGGGCACAGGAGGAAGGGGGTCCCCCAACTACACGATCTCCACCTGGCCAGTGCTTGCTGTACCCTGGGTCCTCCACCATCACTTACAGTCCCACACGCAAGCTGCTCTTTCATGTCTCTGTCCACACTGTCTGCACGGCTTCTTCAAACCACCGCAGGTGGTCTCTGCTTCACAAACAAGCTCTGTTCCTAAGCCTGTCTTTAAGTTGCATTTGTACAAAAGCCAGCACTGTTAGGACCTGGGATTAAGGCCAATTAATCAAACGTGTCTTAGTATTTAGGATGTGACCTTCTAGGCATAACAATCATTAGAGATGCTTCCAGATATACTAAAACACCATTAACATAGTACTACAGTGATCATAATAATGGTTCAATGCTTGTCACAAAACAGTGCACCTCTCATTCTGAACCATGATTATGTGTCTGAATTGTTACTAACATAGGCTTTACAGGGACTGGCTCATAACTGCAGGTTGTACTGAAGTTGGAGTCCATAGCCCGGGGAATGCCTATATTGAGTTCTAAGAGTCTTACTCAACAGCCACCTGGCCCACCATCAGCGTGCTTCTGTAGGGTGTGGACAGCTCCCTGAGAACAGATGTCTGTGGACAGAGCTGTATCTCCAGCTGATGAGCACAAGTGCCAGAGATCTCGTGTTCATCCTCGTTGGCTGAGTGAGTACATGTGGGGTTACTAGTAACTGTAAGGTTAACCAATTGCTCCCAAGGAGAAAGGTGAGGCCACCTGCTCCTATAAAGACTCGTAGTCTACTCTATCGGGTTCACTATGAATCATTCATTCATTTCAGTGGCACGGACTTGGTGATCTTTGGCGTTCCTCAGTCGGAGCCTGGTACCCAGGAGCACCTGGGAAGGCCGTGGTCTGCATGAACACATTTCTCTTTTCCTCTTGTGCCAGCACATAGTAGAGATGGAATGCTCACTGCCAAACCACAGCCAGCCAGCCCAGATGGATGGCCTTCTTCTACCAAGGTCTTACCGTTTAAGATGGACGATGAGGTAATGGAGACTGTTCAAATTCGATGCTGGTAATTGTCTTAAAAGGTCCTTGCTTTTGAGAAGAATTCGGTTTATTTCTATACAGGTATTGGCGCATTTTTTGTCCTCGGGGCCATTCTTCTTGGTCTCGTGTTCTTCATTTATATGCTGCAGCTCTTTTGCAAGGTCTATACATTCCTTGTATAATCGAAATAAAATAAAGGGCTCTGGGAGCTGAAGAAATAAAATGATATTAGTGACATCATCCGCTACCCTCTCTTCCTATCAACAGCCAACGATCATCGCCAGCTGCTGACTGGTCAGCATGCCCCTTTAGTTCATTGCGACTTATTGTCAATCCATGTTTAGAGACGACACATCTCTGCACTGTTTGTGGCCTGAGATAGTTTATTGTGCCAGCCTGGCCGATAAACACAGGTAGGATTGACTGAAGGGCAGAGAGATAAATGGCTTGGTGAGTCTCACCTTTCTTGTCTCTCGCTCTTTGATCATCGGACCAATGTGCGGCTGCCTTGCTTGTTTTGTGCCTCAATTTATAGGCTACACTACCTGTGGGACACCTAGCCTGTGGACTGTGTCGCTGTAAGTTGAGGTCCCTTTAAGACATCTCTGGAGTTGGGGACTGGCGGTTCGTGACCTGGCCGGTTCGTGACCTGGCTGGCCGTTGGTGACCTGCCTTCTGATTGGCTGCTGTGCCGACATAGCCTAGCTCCCTCTATAAACAGGGGAAGATCTGGCAGCAGACTAGACTGGAAGGACTGCTAGTCTCTCACAACTCTCTCTCACGGGAGTGAGATGCACTGAGCCATTTGTAGTGCATTATAATTTAACTGTTTATTTCTTGTATTATATATTTATCTGTATAGGATTTAAAAGTTCATTTCTTGTTATATATCTAATTATCTTTATAAATAAATATATTAAGTTATCAGTAATTTGGTTTTATCTCTCTAGAGAACCTTGTCTAACACATGGCCTATATAAAGTGAGCCTGAAATCACAGCTATAAAATACATTTATATTAAAAATGAATTAGCTGAGAATCAGCAAAGCCTAAAGCCACATGATGGAATTTTAAATCTCTGTTTACTATACCAATTACATCATGACTGCCCCAAGGTTAGCATGAACTTCAACCATTGTACTGAAATGAAACCAAATAAAGTACATAAAAAATCTACTGATCTTCTGAGTTCTATGGGTATCAGAAAAGACAGAACAAAATGCTACAGGGCCCTTGTGCTTTATTCAGACCACATTCAAGGCTAGCACCTCACAATGTAGTCTTATGCGCAGGAAAGTGCCAGCACATTTTTGTTCTAATTTTTAGATCAACACTTTAAATTGCCACGAACCCACTAAAAACAGATTCTATTGTCAACATATTAAAGGACATGTCATTAAACATTTAATGTAATAAAATATATGTAATAGAAAATTTGCCATTTTAGTCACTTTCAACTACTGTATTTTTCAATTGTATACTTCAAATGTACAATTCAGTGACAGAAATTATATCCATTTTGATTATACACTCATCACCACTGTTTCCAAAAATTTGTCACCACCCTGAACAGAAACCCTGAACCGATTTACATGCAGTGATCCATTTTCCTCTCCCCCATGACCCTGGTAACCAGTAATGACATTTTGACTGATTTATTCTTTCATAGAAGTGGGATCAGACAAAAGGGAAAAGAGGAAAACAAAAGGAAGTAGAGGAAAGAACTAGGAGGCAAAGGGCATTTATAGAGGTCTAAATACAGGCATGTACATATATGTAAATATATTTATATGTGACGATGGGGAAATAGATCTATGTGCATATATTTATAGGTTTGTTATTAAGGTAGCAGATGGACATTGGGACTCCACTCAAGTACTCCCTCAATGTAAGAACACTTCGTTCTATTAAACTAGCATTTCATGATCCTCACCTTCCTGACACGATCACTGAAGACAAAAATAAATGTGGTGAAGAAAGCCCAGCTATCAAAAGATATAGCATCTGGGGTCTTAAAAGCTTGAAGGTAAACAAGCGGCCATTTAGCTCAGAAGCAACAAAGCCCACATGGAAGATACACACCAGCCTGTGTGATCACGAGGTGTTGAAGGGATCAGGTATCAGGCATCAAACAACAAAAACTCCTATCACAGTGAATGAGGGGGAGTGAAGATTGGGGACCCAAACCCCATCTGTAGGCAACTGGACATCTCCTTACAGAAGGGTCACGGGGAGGAGATGAGCCAGTCAGGGTGCAGGGTAGCAATGATGAAACATACGTTCCTCTAGTTCTTAAATGCTTCCTCTCCCACACTATCATGATCCCAATTCTAGCTTACATATCCGGCTAGACCAGAGGATGTACACTGGTACAGATAGGAACTGGAAACACAGGGAATCCAGGAGAGATGATCCCTTCAGGATCAGTGGTGAGAGTGGTGGTACCGGGAGAGTGGAGGACGGTGGGGTAGAAAGGAGGAACCGATTACAAGGATCAACATATAACCTCCTCCCTGGGGGACGGACAACAGAAAAGTGGGTGAAGGGAGACATCGGACAGTGTAAGATACGACAGAATAATAATTTATAAATTATCAAGGGTTCATGAGGGAGGGGGGAGAGGGGAGGACGGGGAAAAAATGAGGAGCTGATACTAAGGGCTCAAGTGGAAAACAAATGTTGAGAATGATGATGGCAACGAATGTACAAATGGATGTATGTGTGGATTGTGATAATAGTTTGTGCGAGCCCCCAGTAAAATGACTTAAAAAAAAAAAAAAAAGAAGTGGGATCAGACAAAATGAGGGGCTTCAAAAGATTCTTGGGAAAATTCCTTTATCATTTTATTCCATTTTCCCAAGCACTTGTTGAAGCCCTTTGTTGTCCTTTGTATGTGATTTGTTTCACTTGGCATCTTGTTTTCAGGGCTCATCCCCTGCCCAGCCGCTATCAGCATATCTGCACTTGCTCAGTGAGGAAAGTACAGGGTGTCTGTAATCCGTGGCGAGCGCAGGCTCCTCCTGCATTTCCCCTCATCACCAGTGCTGCTCTACCCTGCTGGTCCTGGAGAGGGGAAGGCTTAGGTCAACTTCCCCTCCTCCACTCTGTAGCCTGAAGGAAGTCACCACCTCCAAGCTTACGCCCTAATACTACTGCGAGAACTGCACGTGGACTCCCACACACTAATGCCTCACACTCCCACAGTACTCCAGCGTGAGATCAAACAATATCAAATTCCATGAATTCCCTTTCCCTGACTGGCAAGAAGAGATAAAGAATGACTCCTTGTGAAATTTAGGGTTCTATCAAAGGAACTCTGCCTCCATCTCAGACAGCTGAAGGTGATGAAGGCTTCTGGGTTGGTGTGAAAGAGCTAACATTTGTTTCTAATTCCATTTCCCCCTGCAACCTCACAGAATACAAGTTCCTAAGGGCTGGGTGAAGAGGAGAGGAGATGAAAACAAGAGCAGAGGAGCAATGCTAACGTAGTGGTCCTGAGAAACTACCTATTTGACCGAATTCAAAGAAAACTGGCAACGCCAGGTCCTCTGATCATCCCGGGAGAGTGGGCTATCTGAAAAAGTATCAGATTTCTCGATCCTGTCCCCACTCCATGTTCCTGGGCAACCTCTTCCCTAGAAATCTAGAGAGTTCTTCTCTGGTTGGTATAAAGCCAAGTCTCTGGACAGGCAATGGCAAGAACCAGAAAAGGGTGGCAACTGTTGAAAGATGGAGATTTGGTGATTGGATGGAGACCCCTGCAGCCTTTTCACTACTTGGCTCCCAGAACACTGGCACCAGACTTAGTTTCCATCCTGGGTAGATATCAGATCAGCCTGAGAAATGAGACCCAGGAACACAGACTCCAGGTGTTTCCCAGAGTCCACCGAGATGATGCTCTAGCAAAGCTCACAGCTCTTCATGGCTTTGCCATGTTCAAGAGTCTTGCAGAGTTTTCAGTTCCCAGCTCTTTCATTTTGAGCACACAACCATGAAAGACCGAAATCAAAATAGGTGGAAGAAAAAAAACAATCGGAAGATCTAGAACTTCGCTGTCGCTATGGTAGCTGCTAGCCACACACGGCTACCATGCACTGAAGGTGTGGCTGGTCTGAAGTGCCAAGTGTTCTAAGGAAATCATCCAAACCAGCCTTCACATGCTGTACACAGAGAATGAGCAACTTAATAACATTTCCCCAGAACTGAGAGGCTGACAGAGCCCACGCAGTGTCCAGAAAAGTGGTCAGAACAATCCCATCGTAAGGCACCTCCCTGTGAAAGGTCAGGACAATGGGGAGATGTGTTTGACAAAATGGATATATGTATGGATTGTGTTAAGAGACCCCAATAAAATAAAATATAAATTAAAAAAAGTTTAATTGATCCAACTAACTAGGTACATTCTAACATTTAAATCACATTAGGATATTTTGTAAAATTTCATCTTACATCTAAAATGATTACTTGCATTTAAAAATAAATGCTTAGGTAATGAAAAGAAAAAAAGAAAAAGATTTGATAAGATTTCTGGGAAAGGTTATAGGGCCATACACAAAGGAGCAGACATGAGAAGATTTCAGGCTTCAGAGGATAAAAAACAATGCCTTCTAGAGTCAGGAGGAAAATAATTTCTAGCCTAAAATGCTGATTTTCCATACTTTCCCATTCCAATTCCAAAGAACAGAATAAAGATCTTCACAGAGTTTCAATTATTCACCCCAAATATACCAATTCAGGATGGGCATGATGCAAACAGGAGAGGTAAACACAAAATGGGGATGGACCAGGGCACAGAGGGCAGGTGATGATGAAGAGGAGGAGGAAGAGATCCCAGGATGGCTGCTATTCACCAGGGTAACCACGGACCCAGATGGGAACAACAGGACTTGTGAGAGCAACATGTGGCGGGCCCTCATCACTATGACGATCTGCTCTTTGCCATTGTCTCTCGTTTTCCACTGAGGATGAATAGCAGCTACACTTCGCCTGGAAGCTTTTTTATTTTTTTAAACTTGGTGCATCATGATCTCGAGCTGCTGCTGCTGAGAGCACTAGGGCCGTGTTTCACTCTTAGAAGTGGTCCTGTTTTTAGAGTGTGGGCACAGAAATAGCAAATACACAACAGCCCACTCCCCTGCGGGACTTCCAATGCCCACCCAGAGGGCAGCTCTTGACTGAGGCCCCAAATCCGGTGAAGCACCTTCCCAGTTCATGACTTTGCTCACCGGCCTCTCACGACGGCTATTTTAGAATGTCGACAAAGATAACGCCAGGCTGTGACCTAATTACAGAACCCTTCAGCTAACAGCATTAATACAAGCCTTTCCTGCCATAGCCAGCATTATGCTTCCTGATCAGTATTCCAAATCATAAGGATCCATTATTGTTCAAGAATAAACAACAGGCACTGAAATGGTTAAGAAGAGAGAGGAAGTGATTTGCAGTTAGGAAAGGCATCTGCAGCTACCAAGGGACACACCAAGGCCTTCCTCAGGCTGAGTGGCGGGAGAACTGGGCAGAGAACACTCGGATACACGGGACTGAACACCGGGGCAGCAATGAGGTCTATGCCAATTAAAATGTATGAATGACACATTTTATCAGTAAATATGAATCATATTTTTTGCTTCTTATGATTTAGCCTCAAGAATGGAAAAAAAGACTTTACCTGTCGAAGGTATGCTTTTAAGACTTCACAGATATCATGTGAGCTAAATTCTGAAATGTCCACCAAGTGCATTCCATTTTCCAAAGCTTGGCACAGTTTTTCAGTTTTTATTTTGTTTCCAGATACACGATAAATTCCCTTGAGTTAAAAAAAAAAGTTTGCCACATTTTGTTTTAGTATAAATGACGAAATGCAAGCATCTCAATATATTTGCTATGTTCTTCAATTTTTATTAGTATTTCAGGAACAAGAGAAAACAAAAATACTAACAAAGAAAAAAGTATTTGCCAAATTAGTCTGGTTAATTTCAGTGGCTGATTAAAATTGGAGATTTTTCTTCACCTCTTAAAGTCCCCTTTTCATTAGAACACATAGTAAGGACCTTTATGGTTTTATTTTTAAAAATTAAAATATACCTGAAGACATAAGGCTCTATTTTCAATTTCTGAGGCACATATTTTGAGTATAAAAGGGATGCCATCTGGTTCCTTTTTTGCAACTTGTGTGAATTCTACTCCAAATAAGTTTATTTTCCCCAGAAGTTTCTGATGACCACAAATGATGACTAAATTTTCCAAACACTTTCGGTGACAAACAAGGAGACACTGTAATAAATTAATAGTTTAGAACTGATTAATTCACCTAAAATTAGTCACATCAATTGGGTAAATTATAGATAGGAATGATAACACGACAAAAATGAGTTTACGAGGTATTTGCTGTTTGAAATACATTTTTAACAGTAAAACAAGGTATAAAATGGAATTACACAGTGATGCAACTTATTAAAAGCACATTTACAAGAGATTCTGTTCAGAAATCTCAGTAACAAAACATACAGAGTAACATATGTAAGGAGGCCATGGCGATGCTGCAGTGCTCTTACCTCTTCGCATTCCACGCCTTGGAACACAACGATGCTTTCACAATCCCTGCATTTTGTGGGGGATCTCAACTTGCGAAACTTATGAGTGAGAGCCGCTTTTGACATCAATGTTTTTTTAAATCCTCCAAGAGAACTGGGTCCTTAAAACAGAAATACATTATAAAGCATTAGAAAAATTACTCCAGGGGAAAAATGAGGACCTAATGCCGGGGGTTTAAGTGGAGAGAAAATGTTTTGAGAATGATGTACAAATGCGCTTTACACAATTGATGTGTGTATGGATTGCGATAACAGTTGTATGAGCCCCTAATAAAATGATTTAAAAAAAAAAGAAAGAAAAATTACTCCATATGGGAAAGACTGCAATTTGAATAATCATCACAGACTTTAAAATCATTCATTCATATACTAGAAAAAGCTATTAGTTTGCATTTCTATCAATATAAAAATCTAATTTTATAAGTCTCTTACAAAGCACATATTTATCTACTGTTTTAGCTAGGAGGGAAATCCCCAGAAAATCATTAAGATACTTAGAGCAATTGGTTAAGGTGTTTTCACCTCGTATTTTTAGAATTAGCAAAATCACATTGTTAATAATACAAGGAGTTGATGGGAAAAAATCCATTAACTTTTTATTCTATTTTTTCCATAACTTTTTTGAAGCCCCCTTGTATGACTTTACAGATTTTGAGAAGAGTCTAAATGGTGCTATAGTCTTAGAAAATTCTTCAAAGAAAAGGAGCTGAAGTTAACATAGCTTTCTTTCAACATAAGGTTATTTGTAAGTCATCATAAGGTTATAGTTAATACTAGTGGGATGTATACACCAATAACCTGTGAGGTGAGCTATCTCATTTGCTTTCAGACACGATGCCAAAATCATCTCGCAGTCTCAGACACACAACACCAATGTATGTGACAAGGAGCCCTGGAGGCCTGGTGGTCAACCTCAAGGTAGACTGTTAGGGAGGCAGCATTCAATAGCAGCGCATGAGACTGTCCGCGAGTCTATTTCAAGTCATTAAGTAGCTTAGGACAAATTTCCTTGTCCTTAAGAAACATACTTAATACTTCTTGCCTAAATGGGCAGTTTCTTAAGCTGTGTTGACTTTATAAAAGGAGGAAAGTACGTGGGCCTGCTATTTTTAGCATCTTGCCAAGACATGTTAGATCTAGTAGTTGTGCTGCTAGTAATTCTACTTGTAGCAGCTGATTAAGGTGTTTTCGACTCATAGCAACCTTTGTGACAGAGCAGAACTGCCTCCTACGGTCTTCTTGGCTGTAATTTCTACAGATCGCCAGGGTTTTGTCCTCCCGTGGAGGTGCTGCATGGGTTCACATTTCAATTGTTTTAAATCAATTCATGCTTGTGCGTAACTGTTGACATTTATTTGAATCATTATGATGCCTTTGTGTAAAGCAGAGCAGTGATTCTTCAAATTATACTACTTTCCAAGTATCGTGCAGTGTTACTGACTCAGAGTTGGGCGGGAACTTGCTACATACCAGCTTCGGAAGGGGACGGCGGCTCTCTTTCATCCAGATCATCTGCAGACGACATGGTCCCACTAGATGGGGTTCGTGGAAGTTTTCGATGAAAGTCTCCTAAGGGAATGATGGATACAATGACCTGGTCATTCAATTTAGAATGAAAAATCAGTCATGATAAAGTTTCTAGAAAAACAGAATTTGGAGTATTTTATTAGCTTTCACGTAAACACACTCTTTTATTCCCAGACTGTAGATGTAAGCAAGTCTGGGTATTATTTCCGGAAATAAACAGGAATTCAAACAAATCTGATTTTGACAAGTATAAAACAGAGGGTCATACAGTCAAATGAGACCATACTGTTAACCCTGACGGTCAAGTTGTAAGCTTCATGAGGGCAGGGAATATTTTCTATTGATACCCGACAGAGAAGCTGGCCCAGTGGCAAAGTTGTCACGCCATGCTTCTTGAATTCAGTCACACATAAATACATGGCACAACCTAAAAAACGTTTGACAAATCATTTGAACACAGCAGCAGTCTCACATTTATGTTATTAGTGAGAGCGGAGAATTGAAACCAGCAATAGCCCAGCAATCCCTGGCTGGACCCAAACACAGGAGCAAAGCTGTATCGGCGAAGGACATAGCCAGGAGAGGAAGCAGGTCATGAAGCTTATTTGCTACCTGCTGACACGAACAAATAGCAGGTTATCTAAGTGGAAGAACTCACGTCCCTTTAAGACATCTAGAAATGTCTTTAAACTAGCACCTGATGTCAACAGAAATCCTCTTCAGAATACTTATAGCCATAATACGGAACAGCTTTTGAGGTGGCCACTGGGCATGTGCTTTCGTTCCCTGGGGACTGAGAAGCATGAGGTGGCACATCCCATTTTGGGGTTATTCTCATTTTCCAAGAACTTCTGCACAGTGAGCCGAAACTGGCCTTCCTGATCAATCACAGCCTTCGGGCTATTTCTCCACAAAGAAGCTCTCTAACTCTGATTTTTGTTTTTTTATCCCAGTGTTTGAAGGTAGCGGCCATATCCCCGGTCTCTTCTTTCCCCGGCTAGGAACCCAAGATCTAAAGCATAAATCATGTGACCCAGTTTCCAGACTCTGGCCCATGCCTACCCTGCCCAACCCCATCCTCACCTTACTCAGTGCTGCGTTTCCAAGACAGCACTAAATTCTCCATGAAGAGTGCCTAAACATTTCTTGACTTAGGGCTTCATTCCCACGGCCAAACAGGTGCGTGTTTACATGGGTCTTAAATTATACGTTTGAATTATTTCACATTATCCTTCAAATGCAGTCCATGATGACTTCAACATGATTACAGGGATGTCTGGCAACACTGGGGAAACCCTCAACAACTCTGGGCACTTTTCTCGGAGGAGACTTGTCAAACAATACTTTAACCCACAGAGGATTCTGCGCTTTGGAATAAACAAACAAACCCCTTCAGTATCAAGCACTTAACTTGAGACACAGCGTGAAGAAAAGACCCCTATTCAATGCACCACCCAAAAGAATTTATAATGAATAGAACTCCCTCATGGTAGGGCATTTTTATCTTTATCACATGGTGTTTTACAGGATCCCAAATCATCCAGGACTTGACTGCAATTTAGTCTTAATGACTGGAGCTAACGACAACCACTTTGTTCTCACAAAGGCATTTTCAAATGGTGGTCAAGTGCCCGAGGCTCTCATCCCCAGCGTGCCCTCTGAACAGAACTCCCTGACAAGGAGCAAGCAAAGCCAGATGTTGACAGTTAACGTACACACACCAGGGCTGGAAGGAACGCTTTTACTGATTTTAAATTCAAGGGATTTTTCTCAATGAGTATAACTTCTGAAATATGTAGACTGTTAAGAGGTCTTGGAAGGGTTTACAGTCAAGTTAAATCCTGACAGTGCTGAGGAGGTTGGAACACAGCTGGGAAGCATGGGGCTGGAGCCATCTTTGGCATGACGGTAGAGAAGGAAGACGCAGCAGGTCGAGCAGAGACATGGGCTCTGGACTCACCATCTCCTGCTGGCTGTATAAGCATGCCAAGTCACCTTTTAGAAACCTGTGCCTCTGCACTGAGGGCGATCAGGACACCTGTCTGCCCCTCAGAGCATGATGAGGCGGTCTGCATCAAAGTTCCTTCAAGCGCATTAGCGAAAACCTAACAAGAACAAGTCATGACAGGCACGGGTTTCTGTGTAACTGTAATATTCACTTTGGGCTCTTAAGCGTAAGGTCAGCAGTTTGAAACCATAAGCTGCTCCATAGGAGAAAAGACGAGGCTTTCTACTCTCGTAAAGAGTTTCAATCTTGGAAACCCACAGGGAGAATCCTACACTGTCTGATAGGACACTAGACTCAAAATCCACTTGACGGCAGTGAGCTGGAGACTTCGTGAGTACTGTTCATGAAAGTACACTACTAGAAATAACTCGGCTGTCTACTAAGTTAAGAAAGTTTTGTTCAGAAAATGGAACACTACTCATCAATCAAAATAGATACATCACTCCCATCAACATGAATCCCCCTTGACTCGCCCTCCAAGAAGAATATGCCCCAAACACTCGAAGGGCAAACTAGAGAGCTCTTAAGAACAAGGACAAGCCAGTGCGGATTAGGCTACACTGAGGATGGCGATTTCTTCAGGTGCAAATACGGCAGTATTATCAAGAGGTGCACAGCATACTTCCAAGAAACTGAGAGTACTGTCATTTCTTAAGGTGGGCCATAACTAGCTGAGGGTTTATTATTTTCCTTTAAAGTGTACATGTATATTTATGTACTTTACTATAGTTATGAAATAGTTCACGCACAAATAAGATAGTTACAGTACAAAAAGGCTAACATTTTCATCTTTCACGGAATTTAAAAAAGAGAGAATTAACATTTTACTGTCTCACTGACTTAAATGTTTACGTACCTGGACTTATAGATTCTGAATCCAGAGAGCGGGACTCGCTGCTCCCGCCAGTACTCTCTGAGTCACTGAACATGCCCGACGTCCAGGGCCTTACAGAAGTGGGACCTTGGAGAGGAAACCACACTGTGAGTCAGAGTTGGCTGCAGATAATTTCATAAAGTAAAATAATGAAATTATATAAACGACACAAAACTCTGAACAGTGACTTACTGTCTTGTATAAGACAGGCACCATGCTTACAGCTTTAAACGGTTTAATCTTTCATAAATTAGAACTCTCTCCAACCTGTTATATCTGCACTGTTAGAACATCTGTCCTCTTCAATTTTATTAGAACTGCCGGGAAGGCGCACAACGTCTTCTAAAGAGTCCGCAGGTCCAAATCTGGAAGTCTGGGGGCTGTTTGTTAGCTGTTTGCTTATATTCCTAAAAAAGTCCAAATAAAGCTCATCACTAGTAACAATGACTAATAATTGACCTTTTTTATTATACTTTCAGACAAAATCTGCTAATTTAATGAAATGTAGATAGATCAATTAAGCTACATATTCAGAAACTATACTGTATAGCTCAACTTTTTATAGAAAATGTAGATGAGGTCTTTTTATTCCTTATTGTAAAGAGACCTTGGTGGTATAGGAGGTAACCCGCTGGGCTGCTAACTACAAGGTCAGCAGTTCAAAACTACCAGCCACTCTGCGGGACAAAGAGGAGGCTTTCTAATCCTGAAAGAGTTACAGTGTTAGAAACCCACCAGAGCAGATCTCTCTACCTTGTCCCACAGAGTCGCTATGAGTCACAGAGACTCAATGGCAGTGGGTTGAGGTTTTGGTGTATCTGTGGCAATGGAGTAGCTGTAGCCAAAGTATATATAGTATAAATAGTCAATAACTCTAATAGAAGGTTCTGTGGAAAGTAAAACCTAAGTTAAATCTTAGGGACATTTAATTGGCCAAAATTTGCCATGTTCTTTTAAAATTTTTAAAGAAATTTTATATCTCGAAGAGTTAGCTGGGTATGTATTAAAATGGGAAGCTATACTCTTCACATGAGTTTATCTACTCCTTAAATGTGTGCATGTATATCACAGTGTAAAAAATACTCCGAAAATCTTTAAGTCAATTCTGTCCATAGCACAAATGTCACTCCTTTCCACTGGGCAGGAAATTAGCAATAAGTGATTTGATCTCTTGCAACAATCTCAGCTGTAAGATTCATTCTTACCCATCGACTTTCTCTTCTTCAGTTGAGTTTGTGGCCTTCACAAATTCACTGTACTCCTGGCCGGGGTCATAGAGTTTGGCACTGTCACAGAGAGACTGTAAATTATTTGCGAGGGAAGCAGCCTGCAGGTGCTGCATCTGGAAAAGGTTAACTGTTACCTGTGGTCACAGACAGAGAGATGAAAGGCAGAGTAACTCATGCTGGACGGGTCACTATGCAGACATGCAGTCATTTCAAGAGCCAGTACAAGCCACACACTGAAGGAACATACTGGGTGGGCCGCAGGGGGCATCTATGAGACTGCCTGACACTATACAAGCTGTAGATCGGGGGAATGAGTTTCAATCTAAAGTTCAGGCGAATCATTTCTAGCACACCTAAAGAGATGAAACTGAAAAAGTTTAAAAATATAACCCCTTTTGCCAATTTTTGGAGATGAGCACATTTTTAAAAAGCCTCATCTATTTACTCTGATGACCTGCCCACAACTGCCTAAATTCTCAAGTAAAAAACAAGGTGGAAAATTCTGGTCAACCAGAGCACTCTTGTTTTTACTGTCTTCACTAGCAATTCTTTAATAATAGAAATATTTTGTTGCTTGTAACTAACACTAGGTTTATGGACATTTCTTATATACCTGTCTCTACAGACATGCATCAAATTGACATGTGAACAAAAGCTCACATTTTCTTTAAAAAACAGCTATTTTATTTAACAACATAACTGTACACTATTAACTTATAAATGAAACTACGTGATACTACATAGTTATATAAAACTTATAGCGATACTTAACATAATACAACATTTGAGGTCTTAAGGGTCACTTGGGCCGGTCAGTGTGACAAACTCCACTGCACTGTTCGTCTTTATACTTGATGTTTATTTTGTTAAGAACTTTTTGGCTCCATTCATATTTATTACTGAAGCAATGCTTTCATGAATGAAACCGATTTGCTGGGACTAATACTCAATTTATGTTCACGTCAAATTGATGACACGTATCTGTAGAGGTATATATACCACACAGAGAAGTTTGAGATTAGAAGGCTAGGAGAAAATGAATTGGGTTATATATTTGTCTCGTTAAACAGATAAACATCAGCATAAAGGGTAGGAGCTAAGTGTAAACAGTTCCTGTAATTTTCTTTGAAGAACTTGAAGTGCATCAAAGTGATACATCCCATAACTCTAATGTTAATGTACCCTGCAGTGCTCAGATTTCATCATTAAGTATTTCTCTCGAGCTCTTTCAAAGACATTCTTCTATTGAGTTTCTACAAGTGCTTACATATACTGTCACTGCTACTATTTGTAACAACTGTAGTAAAAATTACAGGAGTTGGTATACCGAGGACTTACAATCTGGCAGGCCCATTCTAAAGGCTTAGCATGTATTAAACAATGTTCACAAAACGATGCGTGGCACAGGCACTACTATTTCATAGATAAAGACAGTGAAGTCCAGGGAGAGTCAGGCACAGCTGCTCGGTGGTGCAGCCTGGACGTGAACCCCATCATCAGGCTGGGTCCACAGCCCTTGCCATTATGGATAGGAAGTATGCAAAAGAGAAATTCCAGGGGAGTTAAAGGTCCCCATGGAAACAATGAAAGCAAACACAATGTATAGCAAATACAGGAAAATATTCTTAATAATGTTGGCATGAAGAGGACCTGCTTAAGAAGGGCATTCCCTCAAAGACCTATAAAGAGAAATAAGAACAATTTTGACCACATGAAACTCAGGAATTCCTTTAAAAATGCCAGTTTAAAAACAATGACAGACTAAGAAAAAAATGCTTGCAACATACACTCAAAAAGCCAAAACTCACCGCCACTGAGTCAGCTCCAACACAGGGACCCTACAAGAGACCCTACAAGTGGGGTCTCTGCAACTTTTAAACGTTTAAGGGAACACAGTTACACCTTTCTCCTATGGCGAGTCCTTGTGGTTAATGGCTCTATGTGTAAGCACATATTTATTACTCTAGTAGGTCAGCAGCTCCTACAGATCACTCGTTTTAGTACAATTATTTGAGTGCCTACTTAGACCAGCAGTTATTCTAGACTTTGAGGCTATTGCGGGGAAAACTCCAGTCTTGTGGAGTTTATGCTCTCCTGAAGGTGGTGGTGGAAAGAACAAATCAGGTAAACTTAAACTTAAGATGAATTCTAGTCTTAGGAACAGCTTGGCATAATACAACTACCAAGTTCTACTAGAGAGTGCAATGTGCGTGGTTGTGGAGGGTATTTTGGACACCATAGGTTAGGGAAGACCTCCCTGGCAAGGTAACATTTGAACTGGGACCTAATTTAAGAAAGACAGTGCAAATCTCCGGGGGCAAAGACCAATCTAGAGAGAAGGGAAAGTTAGTACAAAGGTGCAAGGGCAAGACTAAGTAGGGATGAGTTTGCTCCAGAAACATTAAAGGTCAAATTCAAAGAGGTGGGGCAGTCAAAGAGAGTAGCAGTCACTTAAAGCCACCACAGAGTCTGGATTTTGGTGCAGCAGGAAGCTGGTGGGGATTTTAAGTAGGGTTTTATCGAGCTTTGATATATATATATATATACACACACACACACATACACATACATGTATTGTAAAAATTGTATTATGAGATCTTACAGCTCAATCACAATCCATACATCCATCCACTGTGTCAAACACATCTGTACATGTTGTCATCATCTTTTTCAAAACATTTTCTTTCTACTTGAGCCCCTGGCATCAGCTCATTTTCCCCCAATCCCTCCGATTTATGCTTTTCATAGGTACTCTGCATCTCCGTGGAAAGTGAGTGTGAGGGAACCGGCGAGCATGAATGCCAGCGTGCGATCAGCTTAATGCTGTTTCAAGCACTGCCACGTGTCTCTTCATCTCTCTGGACACTCGATGCAATGTGGGATTTCTGTGAGCCTCTGAGTCTCTCCCAAGGCAGACAGGCACGTCCCCAGGGAAAACGGACTCAGCAGAGAGAGTATTTGCAAAGTGCTCACAACACTTTAACACCTTGAAGAATCCGAAGAAATTGAAACCACTAATGGTCCTGTTTAAATCCAGCAAGGGGCAAAATCTGTGATCAAGGAATTTTCCAGGTTATGATAAAGTGAAAAGTAAATTTTACTATCGTTTAATAAGACTAATGAATCTGGTAAAAAATGCCAGTATTTTAAGAAGCAAAATGAACACACTGGCATAATCTCCCCATCTGCTGGCTGAATGTGTATGTTCTGGCTATTACTAACTGCGACGTCAACAATGGCATGTACATAATGGTACCCCAATCTGAAAACCCATCTGTCCAAAATGGCACAGCCTTCTTCTTCCCCTTTATCACCCCACTGCACAGCTGCCTTTTCACTGAGGTGACAGACCTCAGCGCTAGCCTCAAACTCATCAATGCCTCTAGATCTTTTCTTTCCTTAAAATTGGGACTTAATCCTTTCCTGCTAGGTCTCCAACGTGTAGCTCAGTAGTGCAAACCAACAGTATCTAAAGTGCTTTGTAGATGGAAAATGACCAAATGAATAATAGTGGAATGTGCCATTTCCCAAGGTCAAACTGCAATTCTGCATATTTTCTGTTACTGCCCCCTCAAGCACACAGGAGACTGCCAACTGATGCAGTGTTTCATGATCTACATCTAATTTAGTTAGTTAGTCAAGCAGTTGTTGAAACAGAATTTTTCATAGTTATATCTATGGGTAGTTTCTCCCATACAACTCAGCAATCATTGAACAAAACTATGACCCAACTATATATTAATTATAAGAAACTCACTTTAAATAAAGCTACATAAGTAAAAGAATAGAATATCATACTAAAAAAATCAAAAGAAAACAAAAGTTGCTACATGAATATGAAATAAAGACCAAAAAGTTAAAAAAAAAAAATCATCAGTATAAAAGGGATACTTCCTAAGAGTGAATGAATCAATTCACAAAGACGACATAACCATCATTAATTATAAGCAGCTAACAAAGGAGTTTCGAAACACATAAAGTGAAAGCTGACAGAACTACAAACGCACCCTTTCTGTGGGAGGCTTCAATGTTACTTTTTCAGTAATTGAGAGAAGAAACACATCAACAAGGATACAGAAGCCAGTAACACCGCAGACCCACCAGCAGTAACTGGGGTGTAGAGAACACATAGTCAGCAACAGCGGACACACATTCTTAACTAAGCGGACTTGGAACACTGGCCAGCACAGACCAGGTCCTGGCTCAGGAAACACGCCCTAACAATTGTACAAAACTGAAATCACACAAAATATTTATTTCACCACAATGGAATTAGAAAATCAATGATCATAAAGATATTCAGCAAATTCTCAAAGACTCAGAAACAAAGAACACATGAGTATTATCCAAGGATCAAATATGAAATAACAAGGGAAATTAGAAAAATCTGAGTTGAACAATAAAAGTGTAACATTTCAAAAGTTATGGATACACATCAACAGGGCTTAAAGTGAGGGTTTTTTTAAAAAAAAATCATTTTATTGGGGGCTCATACAACTCTTATCACAATCCACACATCAATTAAACCAGGCATGTTTGTATACATGTTGCCTTCATTCTTTTCTAACATTTACTTTCTATTGAGCCCGTGGTATCAGCTCTTTTTTTAAATGATAAAATACTTTACAGAAGCACAGAGCTCAATGCACAACCTAAGCTTCCATCTTGACACGGAAAAGAGCACCAAAAGCAAGCAGAAATCAACAGAATGGAAAAATGCAGAAAAAACAACAGAACCAATAGCCATTTCATTGAAAAGATCAATACTATTGATATTATCAGTCTGAGCAGATAGAGAAAAGGGAGGTCATAAATTACCAACATCAGGAATGAAAGATAAGATGATCACAGGATAATTAAGGAGATACTGTTAATAACACTACACACATAAACTGAATAAACAAAACAGACCAATTACATGAAAGCCAAATTTCATCGTAGAAGAAGTAATTCACTTGAATAGGCCCATGCCAAAGAAAGGGGATTTATAGGGAAAAATCTGGAAAAGAAAACTCTAAACTGACTGAGTTCACTGGCAATACAACAAAGCATTTAAGAAAAAACAGCAGTCGTCCTACACAATCACTTTCAAAAAACAGGAGCGACTTCTTCCCAGCTCATTTTCTAAGGCCACCATTACCTTGATACCAAAGCCACACAAACAGTATTAAAAATGAAATGCCCTACACCAACATCCTCCATCGCAAAGGTAAAAGAGATCCTCCTGAAAATACTAGCAAGTCGAATCCAGCAAAATATAAAAGGAGTAATACATCAATACCAAGTTAGGGTTATCCCAGAAATGCCAGGCTGAACCAACACTCAAAATACGAATCCACGTAATCTACCACATGAACAGAGCAAAGGGGAAAAAGCACGTATCACGTCAAATGATATAGAAAATCACTGGATAAAAGTCAGCATTCATTCATGATGCATAATGACAGGACATGCAAGGATGTTCCCTGGTATCACTCCTATTCAACAATGTACCAGAAAGCCTAAGTACAATAAGGTAAGAAAAAGAAATAAAAGAGATACAAGGTGGAAAGAAAAAACAGAACTGCTCTTATTTGCAGATGATATCCTTTTCCATGTAGACAATTCCAAGGAATTTACAAAGAAGTTCCTATAACTAAAAAGTGAGTTTAGCAAAATTACGGAACAGTACAATATGAAAACATTATATACACAGGCAAAATTATTGTTTTATAGATGCAAGAGAATATTAGCTATGAACAATTAGAATTCAAAATTATGTTTGCGTTTGAGTACATATCTATAGATACATATCATGTCATTTACAAAACCTCCAGATGTAAACAATAGACACACAGCAATTCATACATAGTGAAGTAAAATCTCACAAAACATGCAGTATTTTTACGTGAGAAAGTAAAAAAATGCATATTTTAAAAAGCCAAAGACTTAAATAGACACTCTGTATAGATTAGATAGGCTCCAGGAATCCATGGGATACCAATGGAAATGTTTCAGCAACCTAAAGCATTGGAAGCACTCGCTCATCTATGCCCAGAAATTTGGAAGACAGCTCCTTGGCCATCTGACTGGAAGAGATCCATATTTGTCCCCATCCCAAAGAAAACTGACCCAACCAAAGGCTCAAATGATAGAACAATTATCTTTGATAGTCCATGCAAGTAGAATTTTGCCAAAGATCATACAACAATGGTTGTAGCAAGCAGTACATTGACAGGGGTCCAGGCCAGATTCATAAGAGGACACAGAACAAAAGATTTCTTTGCTGACGTCAGACAGATCTCGGCTAATGCAGAGAATACCAGAAGTGTTGACTGTGTTTCAGTGACTAAATGCAGAGAATACCAGAAGTGTTGACTGCGTTTCAGTGACTACGCAAAGGCATTCAACTGGGATCCACAACAAACTATGGATCACACTGAGAAGAATGAGAATTCCAGAATACTTCATAGTGCTCATGGAGAACCTGTACATGCATGGAGAACACAGGAAGACTGCATGGTTTAAAATCAGGAAAGATGTGGGTCAGGGTTGCATCCTCTCACCATACTTGTTCAATCAGATGCTAGCCGTGATAAGAAGAATGTGGTATCAGGATTGGGTTTATTAACCTGTGATGTGCAGATGACAAACCTTGCTCGCTGAAAGTGAGAGGTGCTTGAAAGCATTTGCTGCTGAAGATCAAGGACGGTACCCTTCAGCATGGATGACAACAAAATGTAAAGAAAATAAAAATCCTCACAATCGGTCCAACAGGTCCACGATAAGTTAAGAAAAGGTGGAAGCTGTCAAGGATTATCTTGCTTGGACCACAATCAATGCTCATGGAAGCAGCAGTCAAGACATCAAATCTGCATTAGGGAAATCTGCTGCACAAGATCTCTTTGAAGTGTTGAAAAGGATGCAATTTTGAGGACTAAGGTATGCCTGACCCATGGCATGGTATTTCCAATCATCTTATATGCATGTGTAAGTTGGACACCAAATGAGGAAACCTGAAGAAAAATTGATGCATTTGAACTATGGTGTTGGCAAAGCACACTGAAAGTACAATGAACTGCCAAAAGAACAAGCAGATCTGTTTGGAGGAAGTGCAACAAAAATGCTCCTCCCAGGTAAGGCTGATGAGGCTTCTTATAGACACTGGACATGTGACCAGGAGAGACCAGGCCCTAGAGAAAGACAACATGCTTGGCAAAGCGGAGGGCAACAAAAAGAGGAAGGCCCTCGGCCAGATGGCTGGCAGTGGCTGCAACAGCAGGCTCCAACGTAAGCCTGATTTTGAGGATGGCACAGGGCCAGGCAGTTTTTCCACTAGTGTCCATAGCGTCCCTGCGAGTGGGGACCCATTAGATGGTATAAAAACAACAACAACATCTTTAAAGAAGCAGCCTGCCACATCTTCTAATGGAGGAAGTAATGGGTTAGCTCCACTAACTGCAGTTAGCTGCCGAGAAATTAAGCACAAGACAGTCATGGCTCCTCGGGCTTCTTTCTCTCTGATACAGAGATCTAAGTCTCACCCCAAATTTCTTTTTTTTTTTTTTAAATTGTTTTTATTTATTTATCCCCCACCCCATTTCTTTTTTTTAAAACAAATTTATTTATCCCGCCCCCCCTTTCTTATCTTCAAAAATCTGAAGAAATTACTTACAGCTTTAAGGGTAAGATCACACTGGAAAACAAGTGTCCGGAGCTGTGCTAAAATTTCTCTCTTAGTATTCTCTAGATCATTGCGTCGTTCCTCAACATTTGTCACACAAACTTTGTAAAATTCATTTGCTTCTTCTACCTTTGAGAAAGGATGGAAAAATAACACTGGTCACTAGAATTGATATCTCAGATCTTTCACTGTAGTAAAGCTAAATTTAAATCACTCAAAGTCCTTATCCCTGAAAATTCCAAAAATGTTTATATTTTAGGCAGAATATTTCTAAAGATAAAACCATCTAGTTTGCTCAAAGATTCAAGGGCACTTGACCTTAATGGAAAGGGAAGTATGATATGCAACTGGCATGTTGTTTTGACTACAAAATAAATCTCCACTTGTTTTTTAAAATAGCTATTTAAATTTACCATCTTCCATATAATCCCATAGGGCCCATTTGCTTATCAAGTTCTATTTTCATAAACAATACAAAGCTTCACACCCTATCTCTGCTCTTTGATGTTAAAATTAGCACACATACATGCCTAAAAGTGGACTTATTGAACCACCAACTCGAAAATATTCAAATTACTAACTTCTCTAAGATACTTCTTTTAAAAACAAACCCAAAATCCAAGAGATAAGCAACAGAGTGTCTGTCTTGCTTGGTGATTCTCACTGTGGGGTTTCCCAGCAGCAGCACCGGTGCTATCTGGGAACTGTAAGAAATGCAGTCTCCAGGCCTCCGGTTACCGTCCGAGAGCTACTGAAATGCACACTCTGGGGATGGAACCCCGTACTGCGTGTTTTAACAACGCCTCTGGGTAACCTCAATGCATGTGGAAGTTAGAGAACCAGGCCCTCAACACACGAGTCCTAACACGACTTGCAAAGAGCAGAAGAGATCATTACTTTTTGAAGAGCCTCCTCTTCCAGCTTTCGTTTTTTTTCTAGTTGCTTGAGATTTTTCACTAATCCTCCACTTGAGCCCAGGTGCTCCTCTTCTGCCCGGAACATGGACGATTTTGCTTTTTCGTACTCATCTTGACGTTGCATGCATAACAATTTTGCCTTTTTAAGGGCAGTCTCTGTTTCCAGCTAAACACATACACACAAGATAATGAACACAAGATAGGAGACTCTTCATGTACAAGTTTCTGATTTAGCATATGCGGTACACAGTTAAAATAGCATTTCAGAAAAGCTATGGAGAGAGGCAGATGCTTAGATAACTGCAGGTGATCTCAGATGGTCACACACATCATACACGAAACTCCATTCCCATACTAACCATTTTATTCTGTTCCTGTTTCCAAAGTTCTTTCATTTCTTTCCTTTGTTTCTCCATTTCATTTTTCCTCCCAAGTAAAGGCTGTGGAGAGTATTTGAAAAAGACATAAATGTTGAAAACTATCTTTCTCAACCCACCCTGTCATTAAGAATAATGCACACTATGCACCTGCACGATGGCTCACCTGTATAAATTTGTTGGCTTGGAGGGCTGCAAGCGTCTCTTGTACGAGGCGGCTGTTCTCTATGTCCTTGTGCAGTGCACTGGTGAAGAGCGCCTGCAGTGGCATGAACTCCTAGGGAGGGAAAGGGAGCTGGGTCACAGAAACAGTGCCAGGGCTCCAGGAGCTTTCAGAAAAGAAAAGCTTTGCTTTGGATGAATTCTTTTTCAGAAAATGACCAGTCATGTGACTATACGAGAAAAACACTGAAGAAAACAAATTCTAATAATAAAACTAGTTAGCAAACTTTGTAGCTGTTGAAGTACTCAAAGTACATACAGGGCTGAATTTCCTAGGATTATTATCATTATTATTTTCATAATGGGCAACACCTACATTTAAAATTATTTTTACTGTGCTAATAAAACATCAGCATTTAAGTACTTTCCAATATTATATAAATTTCTAATTTTGCAAGGCAGTAGGGGGTCCTCATCTGAGTAGTCTCTTGTGTTAAAACCCTAGAAATTCACAGACTCTTACCTGTAGTCCAATGTTAGTTCTAGTTGTCTCTGCCAACTTGATAATATTTCTGGTGGACTCCAGGTCTAAAGGGGTGAAAGAAAGTGATCAGAAAGGAAAACAATTTATTCCCCCCACGTCAATCTCTGAAATTACTGCTGCATGTAGTGACCCAGTTTAAAAGTGATTCACAAATACTAGGCTGCAGTATGGCTGAGTGCCATAGATTTTTAGTCCTCAGTACGCATTAGCGTTAACTGGGGCAAGTTTTCAAAACACAACTTCCAAGACCTCACTCTAGGGAGCACGTGGGACCTGGGCCTGTCAGTAGCCTCCTGGATTGGGCTACTCACATGATTGTGATGAGCTTTCCTACTAACAAGTAACACAGTAGGAGCACCAGCTTTGGGCTACAGCCTACATTCTTCCAGTTACTGAGCCAAGTCACCTTCGCTATCCCACCTGCAGAATGGGGATGATTCTTTTCCTGTCCAATTCCTACGGATTTGTGAGGATTAAATGAGAAAGCAGATATCCAAGTATTTTGTCAACTATAATAAAGTGCAGGAAACCATGAGCTATTAAGAAGTTTCTCTGTCCTTTTATTGCTATCTGCTCATATACCGATCTATTCTTGCTTTTATTTCCTTTAATGATACTATCTGATTTCATTTCTTATGACCTCCCTAAAGGCAGAGGCAACAATATTCCACTTGTCTTTATGTCCCTAGATCTGTGCTGGTCTACAGTACATGTTCAATAAGTACATTCAATTTAGTGAGGAGAGACTCCTGTTTCAAGCAGAGGAAATGGGCAGTGACTGCATTCATTCCAACAAAACAGGTAGCAGTTTGGAATCATATTGCTCATAATCTGGGCAAAATAAACCACAAACAATTTAGTCTTATAATCCAAAGTTAATTAGATGCCCCAAAGCACAACTCACCCAAATTAAGCTTTTTCTCAACCCATGAGACAATATTCTTGGTGTATTTAGACCACGTTTTGGCATATGACAGAGCCAATTCTACAGAGTCTGTGTGCTTCAATAGCACGTTGTCGAGTTCTATAGGAGATAAACTTCCTGAAAATAAAAATACGAATGTAAGTAGGCAATTTATATGATCATGCAGTAATTCTACACAAAGAAGCACTCAGATTCAAAGACTTTCTTCAATGAAAACTGATAAACAATAACAATAAAAACAAGTAATAGAAATTTAGGATTAAAGGGCCAGAACAAACTGAAAATGTTTCCAAACTATAATTAGACACAAAGGTTTCAAAATGTTGATTAAACTGAATTAAAAGAGAATAGAAAGCATCCATGAACTTTTGCAAGCCTCTTTGTATTTCCATTATTCATCACATTACAGCCCTAACACCATTCTTGATCAGTGTCTCTCATTAAATTAGCTCATCTACTCTAGCAGGCATTTCCCTTATGTATTATATGTAAGTCCTTATTAAGATATTCCAGGTTACTGAGCAACAAAAAATTACACAGTCCTCAACAGTAACTGCAAAAAACTCTCTGAGAGAAGTAATAAGTGATTCAAACGGTACCTTTTTCATGGGATGAGTCCACTGATCCCTCAGAAGTGGTTTCAAAGGACTTAAAACATGAAAGAAAATGCATTTAAGATTAGAGAAGATAACTGATCTTCCCCCCCAATTTGTTCGTCTGACATAATTCCTTCTAAAGAATTTCAAGTATTAAAACTCAGGCCTGCGAGGTCTGTTTAAATGCCAGAGCAGCTTCATGGGAATGGAATAGCTTCTCAAATTCCAAGAACGAGCCACCTCACCACTATTCGTTAACAACATTCGTTAACATAAATGAATCTAGTCAGAATTGTAAATTCCAAAAATATTAGTTAGAAGTCATCTCAGTGGACTGCTATCTAAATAAGGGACACAGGACTCTTCCTGCTGGTGTTTCTCTAAAGGTCTAGAGGGCAGTTTCGTGTAGACATTTCTGCCACGGTGGTCATGTGCTGCATCTGCACAGTCGCTACTATCCACATAGACAGTGAACATCTGAAAGTGGCTGGGGGGGATGAGAAGTGGATTAATTTAGTTCCTCTAAAAGTGAAGAACTACATGTGCCCCATACAGCACAGAACAAACACCGTCTTAACTACGAGCTCTCAAAGACATCCAGTAATGCTGGGTCTGCAGGGAGTCACGGTGAAAAGGATCAAGCAGAGCTAGATTTGAAGTCCAGCTCTGCCACATCCTTGCTGGACTACTTACTTAGGTTCATTTAACTAAAATGGGAATGAGAACACCATCTTCGTAGGGCTATGTTAAGAAATTATGATCACGTAGGCTTAGTATAGTGTATGGTACGTAACATTGTTACATAAATGGCAACTGATTTTAAAGGTTATCTTATAAAGCCCTTAACAAAGGGGGCAATTTCATTTATAAAAGTCTATCATCATGTGTTTCTTTTTTTTCCCCCCAACTCTCTAGGGTAAATTTTTAAAATGCAAAGAAAAAAATCAAGGTAATGCCAAAATAAGGTTAGAATGTGATTGGAATATGAAGTTAAAAATATCAAAGTCCTAAAAAAACACCAAAAAACAAAGTCTTGGCTTTCACACAAACTTAACCTACCTTACTTTCCCGAGACACAGGAAGTCGCAATAATGAATCATTGCCTACATCTCCCATAAGGAAGTTTGTTAGGCTATTCGAGGAGGTTGGAAAAAAGAGAAAAGAAATAGAAATAAAAGAGAAGTCATTACATGGCTTATTTGTAAAGGAAAATCTTGGGGGGTTGGGGATGGGGATAAACTCCTAACACTCTAATCGCCTAAGTCACAGTATAGTCAACTGCAAATGGATGTTTCTGCTAAACAGCTAGAAACGGGTTACTGTCAAGTCTACCCTGCTTGTGTCAGGGCAGAATAGCTCTCCGTGGGGTTTCCCACGGCTGCTTTCCCAGAAGTAGTTCACCAGGTCTTTCTTCTGGGTGGACTGAAACGTCCCACCTTTCAACCCACAGACTCCACACAGCTCTAAGACACCTCCAAAGGCGGCCAGAGAGCAATACAGAATGCAGTCTCACCAACGGTGAGATCTGACACCATTTCATCTGTTTGCCATGCTATCCTACTGAATTTTGTGATACTCTGAGATTCCTAAGCCCGAATACATTTAAATGACTTACATATTCCCAAAGGTAAACGCTAATTCTTCGATGGAAGAAAACACTTCTCGGAAGAGATCGTTTTTATTTTCTTCATTCACTTCTGTGAAGTTCACAGCTGTAGAAAAAGGTCGGTTACAATAAATGAGGAAGAAAATATTTTTAAACTAGATTTGTACCAAGTCATTTAGTCTTCTAAAACCCCATCATTTTACCTTAAAAAGCATATAAAATTCAGACAATGAAAAGTCTAATACACAAAATGAATAACACATTCAAATTCTTTATTAAGGAAATCATACCAAAGAATCAGCTTGCATAAAGTTAACTGGCATTCCAGACTAACTACTCCATGCATTACGTAATTGGACACATGGGGGGGATGTGATTCAATGTAAGATCAACTGGTCTTTGAGTCAGAGTACATGTTCTATCAAACTGCTCTCCTTTTACGAGTGCTCTGTGCTATTTTCTTATTTACTGCCTTTCTGGCTTAAAACAACAACAACAAACAGCTAGGTATACTGTGGCTCATATAAGTACAATATGAAGTTTATTTCTTTTATGAATTACCAGTAACTGAAGTCACATATACATTTGACAAAGCATAGCAAGACATCCCATAAAATACACCAGATGCTGCACTGCAATAAAGGGAAGGGAGAGAAACCAAGTGGAAAAGAAGCTATCCTTTGCTCTAAAACAAGGTTGTGGTTGACCTTGGATGTACCTTACAACTACCCAGGGAGTTGTAAAAAAACAAAAATAGTCCGGGGCCCCCAATCAAATGTTCAGATTTCATAGGTCTATGAGGTAAGGCACTGATATTTTTCAAATGTTCTCCTAGGTGATTTTAATGTAGGCCAGCCTAGGTTTGAAAATTCTCTCCTGGAAGCAAAGCTTCCTGGGAGGAGGTGATTTAAAGTTCAAGTCTATATATGCCATGTGATCACAATCAAACTTGGATATGCTGACATCATCACAGACATGGGAGACCAGGCCTACACATTTCATTGATTTCTCAAAATATCCCTTATACAAAAAGGAAAAGAAAATAAACATAAGAACCAGCACAAATGTTTGTGTGTGTGTGTGTGTGTGTGTGTGTGTGTATAGTTCTAGGACTTCTGGTAGGGCTAAGACACAGAAATGGGAAATGGGCCTACATTCCTGTATGAAAAAACTTACACACACCCCACTATTCACAATAGTCATAAGATGTGAACTTAAATGTATATGAGCGAATGAATGGAAAACAAAATGTGATACTTATATGATAAGATACTCTCGGCTATCAAGACATCATGAGGTCCTGAGTCATGCTGCAACACGGATGAATCTAAAAAACCTTATGCTGACTGAAATCAGTCTCACATGTGTACACACACACACACACACACACACACACACACACGAATAGTGTATGATTTCCCTCAAATGAAATAACTAGAATAGGCAATGTATAGAGATCAAAGATTGCTAGTAGATACTCAGGGCAGGATGGAAAGGTAAAGAGAAAGCCTGTTCTGGAAATACTGAGTTGATGCTATCAGAGATGGGAAATTTGGCAATGATTATGCATGAGGCCAGCACACATCGGTGATGTCAATGATATGAATCATGTACACCTGAAAACTTTGAATTGGCAAATTCTGTAGCACATATACATTTATAACAACAAAACAATTTAAACCCTACTAACTATATGAAACCAGTTTTCAAGGCGCTGGTCGTCAGGCAGCTGAGGACGGTGACCCTCAACAGACAAAAATCAAACAAAATGAGAGCCGCTACTGCCTAGCATACTGCCGAACCCCACAAGGTAGATTTTGGAGCAAAAGGTATACATATTATTGATAAAGGAGGTGATTTCATAGTGAGTCAATTAATCAAGAGGACATAACAGTCCAAAAAATCTATCCACACAGCCATTTCCTGTAGTCTAATCCAGCCCCTGATGACCCCACAAGGCAGAGTAGAACTGTCTCCTCGGCTTCCCAGTCAGTAGATCTTCATGGAAGCATACTGCCACAGCTGGCTCCTGCAGAGCTGCTTATTTGAACTGCCAACCTTTGGTTAGCAATGCAGTGCTTAATCACTGTGCCACCAGGGGCTCCACTACACCTTCACCACCACCACCACCGAGTTGGTTCTGACTCATAGCAACCGTACAGGACTGGGAAGCACTGCCCCTTCGTGCTCCTGAGACTTTGATTTTTTACAGAAGCAGGCAGGCTCCTTTTTCTCCTGGTACGTTTGAACCTTGTGGTTCCTCATAAACACAGCTTCGTAATGGATGAAACAAAACCCAAACACAACTGCAGTGAGAGACACCTTTGTTACAGTTGGAGAGTTTAATACCCTTCTCTCAGTAATTGATTTAACAGGTAGGTAGTGTGTCAGTCAGTGTATTAAAGATTTGAGCAACACTGTCATTTATCTTAACCAGCAAACAGCAAAGCAATAGCAAAACACACGTTCAAATGTATGCTGAATGTTTACCAACAGCATAAAGCAAACCTCAATTAAGTTAAAAAGATTCATGTTTCACAGGCAAAAGTATGTCTGTGACCGCACGAAATTAATTAGGAATCAGCTACAGACAGACTTCTGGAAAAGCCCCAGACACTTGGAAATGAGATAGACACTTCTGAATAGCCCATGGCTCCCAGAGGATGTCTCCCAGAGGAGACATCAAAAAGAAATTAGAATTATTTTGAACTGAATGAAAACAAAAGCACAAGTTATCAAAATTTGTGAAGAGGCGTCAAAGAGGTACAGAAGGGTGAGATCATAAAAGAAAGGTCTGCTTCTGCTACTGGCTTCTCAAAAGTACATGCACGTCAACATTTCTCAATCTGTACACTTTTTAAGTTGAAGTTTATTGTATGTCAATTATATGGCAACAATACTGCAATGTTTTAAAAATTCTCATGGTAAAGCTAAATATAATTTTAACATCACAGTAGCAAAAATGTAATGCCTACCCATATTTCTAACTTTAATCTGCTAAGCTTTAAAGACAAAAATAATACTTTAACCAAACAACACTATCCAAAATTCTAGAATTACTTTCTTATAACTACACTTCTTTCACAGCACTATCCATGAATGGGAAATGAAAAAATACGAATGGCTGTGATAACTGTGAGCAATGAACAGACACATATCAAACC